ATCAATATTTTGAAGTTAACATTAAAAGTTTTTTTTTACAGAAAAAACAAAAATTAAATTTATAACTTTTCAGAGAGAGCTTTCCTGGTATTTTTTAATTGAATTTTTATTTGACTACACACTGAACTGAAAATTAATTTATTTTCATAGCAGTTCTTGTATTAATAATAATTGAAATTTATCTGTTAGCATTATTATTATTATGATATTTACAGACAAAATCAAAAGCACTAATTATTTTTACAGAATTCACTGTCAGAAAATTTATAATAGATATTTATGACAATTCTACCTTTATAATGAAACTCTTACTTTAGAACATCACTATTAAATATAGACAGTTTATAGAAGTTGATTGATCACTTTTTACTTGAATAATATTTTTTGAAACATTTTATTATTCTATCTTTAGACTTGTATATCTTCAAGTTTTTACAAATTTATAAATTAATTTTTTATTATGTATGTTATCAGAAAATAAACTGTAAACAATGTTTATTTTTTGTTAATGCAGACAGAATGTTAAAAAAAAAAAATACAAAGTCTATTAAACTCTAATCTGGTTTTTAGTCATTTCATATAAATATAAATATACAGGCATCTTCCTCTCTAAAAAATCTAAATTAGGAGGTATTGTTTTATCCATGATACGACAAAAGGTTAAAAAGTTTTTTAAATTTAATTTTTTTTAAGGCTTCTTTAGATTAAAACACATAATTAATTGCTTTGCTACAGATTACAGCATGCAGTGGATTAACTGTGTTCTCTAATCTGAAGAAATTTTAAATAAAAAAAAAGACAAAAGTGTTTATTTTAAACTTTAAAATCTTTTTAGTTTTTTCTTGTATCATCAATAAAACTCTCCCCTAAATTCAGTCAGTATAATTGAATCAATAAATTGTTCATTAAATCAATGAACAGTCAAATACAAATTATTTGTTTTAGTGGAAATCCTCTTTTCGTTCTTTATTTTTTCTTATTACTAAACAATTTACTCGAAAAATTTCTATTTTATTTCATTCGCTACATCTTCAAATACAAATTATTTGTTTTGTAGGAAATCCTCTTTTCGTTCTTTATTTTTTCTTATTACTAAACAATTTACTCGAAAAATTTCTATTTTATTTCATTCAATTATTATTTTTGATTTCTATTCTTTTGTTATTATTAAGAATTGAGAATTCATTTATTTTACTTTAGTTCATAAATGAGAATTAAATTCGTGTTTATTTCGTCTTCTTTTTTAGATACGTCTTTTTTTTTTAATTATTTTTCTTTCGAGTTATCTAATACTCTTATTGAGTTCATGATATAATTTAATTTTAAAAATATTAAATAAAAGAGTTTTAAAATTATAAAAACGTTCAGAATAAATTTTATCAAGATTTTCATGAAGTATGCTATCGGGTTTAATCAAGGATGTAATTTATCTTCTACTTTATGTACTTATTACATTTGGAGTAAAGATTACTTTATTTTATTTTCTTAAAATATAACATATAAAAAATATTTACTATATTTAATTAAAAGTAATAAATTTTATAAAACTTCGTACATTAAATTTTTAAAAGAAATTATTTAAAGGCGATCAAAACTATTTCCATTTCTTACGATGGCTAGAAATAAAGTAAAATACTTCGTATATATTCTTTAAAAACGAAAATATCCATGCATATTTTATTAATACATTTTTAATAATATTTATATAACATTTAATTGAAAAGTAGTAAAATAATAATATTCATCGAGAGAAAAATGCCTGTGGTGATATCAATCAATGCCATGAAAATATAGAGTTTTCATCGTGGAATACTTTACTAAGTTTTTGATAGATTAACTTAAATTCATTAATATTTAATAATAAATACGATTAAGTTAATTAAACTATCTTCGAAAATATACCTTACTTAAGATAGTTTACGCTGTCAGGAAAAAAAAACAATAGNTATCTAACAAACGTGTACAGTTACAGAAATGTAGAATAACTTATTCCCTAGAAGCTTATGTTGTAACCCGTTTAAATTAGACGGAAACGATACTCGTATCTATTATATAGAATTGTATATAATGCGCTTTATTCGCGTACTAACTCTTTAATTACACGATTGCTATAATATTAATTAAACGTAGTTAACTTTCTAGACCATTTACTTTAAACAATTCATCGACATGTACGCATTTACTCCGAAACTTAATTAAATTCCAACGCTAGTTCAAATATCTATTTTATCTCTCGTATTGTAAAACTGATATTATTCTCTTTATTTAAATTTCTTCAAAGATGATAACGAAATCAGCCTGTGGATGTACGCCATGATCTGCATCGGATGTGGTTTCGTCATTTTCGTAGCAGTAACTGTGTACCTCATGTGGTAAGTATCGTTTTCAAAGCTTTTCATGTTCATGAGTGTTCGTTGTGATCATATTTTTCCTTGGTTAGCATGCCAGATAGAACATAGCCTTGTGAGTAATTTCCTGTTTCAATTGAAAATGTAACTATCAGTAGAATTTTACGCGGTGATTGACTAACGTCGTCGTATTTTTCTTTTCTTTTCTAGTAAGCAACATTCGTTCCTGAGGGATCGAGAAGATCGCATCCTTCGAATGAAGACTTACGCAGATAGGTGTTGTTCCGATTTTTCGGAGGCCAACACCGTGGCATGAAAATGTCTAGAAACAAGAATGTTTATCGACATAATCCGTCGGAAGACGACTCGAAATTCATTTATCACTTTTGCAGTCGAACGGCTGATGGAATGTGCCTTTTGGCTCTTCGCATAACTCCTTTTGTAAATAGACTATTCCTTCCTAAACTCTAATTATTTTCGCTACGAGTGAAGCCGTAAGAATCTGGATATCGTATCGTAAATTTATATTTTAAATAGTAGACTTTCCATGCGATACTTCAAAACTGTTAGATGTTAAACCTTAATTTGATACGGCATTTTTTGTGTTGGATACATTTCTTACACTCTGTGAAAACATTCTTATCTCTAATCTTTCCGAGTGCTGTAAATTAAACGACGTTTTAAAAGTTATATAAAAATTAGATCGTCTATCTTACAAATTACTTACCACATTGAGTAGATAATGAATATGACGTATATAACAAATGATAAACCAACAAAGATAATTGCAAACATCCAAAATGTAACCTCTTCTGTAAGTATAAAGATTATATAACAAATGGTTTTTACGAGTCATTATATAATTTCAAATTTATTTTGGAACAATTGATTAAACTTAAACCGGACGGAATTTAATTACATAATATCGAAATTTAATTACGCGAGTGCATATCTATGGCGGATGTAGAAGTCACGCAGCACGAGTGAATATCGAAACTGATAAAGGAAGGAAAAAGAAAAAAAAGCGTAACTTATCGATCTATATCTAAGAGCTAGATAAACAGATAAAGGAGAGAAGTCGATAAATCAACAAGTCGATACCGAGAGATTCCTTTCCGAGATTCGGAAAAAATGTCTCTCGCATCCTCTTCCTCCATTAATTCGTGCCAAGTTGGAAAACATCATTAACCTTCTTTAGCGTTTGATATCGTCTCTAACACCGAGAAAATTTCATTTTTATTCTTTACGTATCGGTTTAAAATAACAACATTTCTAGCAAACATCTCGAACATTCCGACATTTAAGTAAACAATTAAATCATCCTCCCTTCGTCGAACAACAAATAAGATAAGCGTAATATCAAAAATATGCAATTTTCGCATCTCGTTGATTCGTATCTTATTTAATTACAAAAAGAATGCAATTACATAACGCTAATTTTAATATACTTACAACAATAAACGCGAATAAAATTCTTGAAAACAATTTAAAGTTTTCGTTTTGTTTAAAACTATAATTATAATCTACTACTTCCGACGAGAAGGCGTTAACTTGTATAAGATAACAACAATTATATATAAATTTTGAGGCCCGTAACTTTAATAAAACAAAAAAAAATTAAATAAATAGAAATTAAAGTATTACAAAAGATAAATTAATTCGGGACTGTCGTTACTTACCGGGTTGATAGACGAAATTTATGTCTGGTGTGGAAGTAGAATCGACGTTATCCATATTTCAAAGAATATAATAGCAGAATTCATGCTCGAGTGGCTTGCCAAGTGGCATCAAGCCAAAATTCCCATTGCACGACGGGTAACGTAACGACTGTTGATTCCTCTCATGCCCCTAATTAACGCTTATTTGATAAATTAAGCTTTTATCCGTTAAAGAAAGAGAGAAAAAAAATGGCGCACTTCCTTCTTTGCCGAGTGATATCTGTTCGAACTTTAACTTAATCAACCGCAAATAACTGTAAAATATGATGAAAAAAAAATTCGTATTTTTATTTTTAAAAAATGTAACCTTTATAAAACAAGAACGTCATTTATCATTTTATAAAGAGAAAATAAGAAAATCGAATTAAATGAGTCGGACGAGTTTAACATCGAAAGATGTTGTTAACCTTCATTCATCATGAAATAAAGAGATTTTCAATCCGAGTAATAATTTAATTATGTTTATATCCGAGAAAATAGTATTTTAAAATAATATTTGCATCGCATTTTAACTTTAAGTATTAATTAATTTTAAAAAAAGACATTTGATAAAAGCGAAAAAATAATAATATTTGTGCTTAAACGTGCCATTTACTATAACTGCTATGGAATGAATTTATGAACTACACAACTATATCTTTAGTAATGTTTTCTAAAATTTACGTATAAGATAGTTTATTTTATAATATAATTTATAATATAAATATTTATTTATTTTTATAGAAATTGTAGAAAATCGTAATATTAAACTAGTAATTCTTAAAATAGTATAGGATCTACGAATTATTATTTTATCTTTTATCATTCTCTTAAATAATCGAATTTTATTTCGAACGCAATTCAGTCGAAATTATCTTTTTGCATTATTACACACTTTAAAATATATTTGATAGAAAATGCATTTTCTTTCATCCCATTTGGTTACACGATACAGGTATTGACATTCGATAAATTCTCTATAAATCATCGCCTATCTAATGCTCGATGTTTACTTTTACTTTATTTTAAAAATCTCTAAATTTATATACAAAAAAAATATGAGATTTATCTTTATCATTTACATTTAAATAACTTTTATATTATTATTTTTTTAATAATTTAAATTGTCTTTTCTGATTAAGAATGGCCAAAAATATCATTACCTTCCGGATTGAGCGAGACATTAGGACAACCCGCCTACGTCTTAACTAGGAAATTTTGTTTTGTAAAGAAGGAAATCTTACACTCTTCAAACATCTAATACTTAATTATAAAATTTAAAAGCGATGAGATAAACTTATCGTCGTTTCCTTTAATAAAGTCGGAGGCGACTCTCTTGTTTCTTCTTTGTGAGTAGCTCTACGCGTAATTAATATCGAAACAACTACTGCATCTAATCTTTGTTGATCTCGTAGGATGACTCTTAACTGCATTACAGATACCGATAAGTAATTAACTTTCTCTTACGCGAATGAATTATTCACTCGTTATGTTAATTTTTTAAACTGTAGCTTCATTTTTATTGTAATTAATTATTATTATTATTATTTTTTAAATGTATGAAAAGACCTCCTTCCGTAATGGAGTCTACTCTTCTATAAGAGTAAACGTCGATGCCGAATTTTTTTTCTACAACGAAAACGTTAAATTATTACATTTAAACAAACGTCAACATGTCCTAAATACAGCTTCTTGCTAGGTCAAGCGAATCGAACACATTTTATATACGTTGACGAATATTCTAGTTAAATTTTTTCGCATTTTAGCATATTTAAGAGGTAATTTGTGATGTTTTTTCTTACGATTATATGGTAAAATTTTTCAATTTTTAATATATTTACCTTAAGGAAGTTTGATGAATTGTTAATTGCTTTCGCTTCCCTTTTTATAACATAATTGGTAAGCGGAACAATATGCGTTACCAATCAATAAAATGATTAATTTGTATATTGTTATCGAGAAAATACTCGGATCGATATGCCTCTTACTATATTCTATCATCTCAGAACTTTAATAAATATATTTATTTTTAGAAGAACCGACAAAATTGCCTTCTCCCCTTATCCATAAAAGAGTTATGCGGCGAAGAAGAGTCAATATCCAGCGATTAAATAGTTTTTATAATGAAAAAAATATTATGTTTTGTTATGAAAAAATGACTTGTATAATATAAAAAATTTATGAGAATTTTTACGTTGTTTATAAATACAAAATGTCTTGTATATAAAATATAAAATTATTATTATCTTTACATTCAATCTACACAAGAAAAATATCTGTAGAAAAGAAGCAATTTCTCATTATTTATATAATAAATAATTTAATTACATACAAATGTTACCACAGTGTTTTCCAATCTGTGGGGCGCCAGGCTATTGCAAGGAGGGAAGCGCAGCTTTTACCAAATTATCATTTTTTAATACAAATAAACAAAATAAGTCAAATCAATGTCGAAAAAATGAATCAGAAAAACAACCTTTGTGGGTACGAATGCTAAAAATCCATCCACACTCTTGCCGAAACGTCTGTACTGTACAAGAGTCGAGCCCGACGAACAATATACTTTATTTAATAAGGTATATTGTTTTATAGGTCATTAAATAAATTATAAGAACAGAATTTATAAAATTAGNTGTAACCATTATATACACAGGCCTATCGATTTTTTTTTTCATTATTATTAATTAAAATTTACGTTTTCTTTAAAGAAACGAAAGTTATAAATAACTAGAAAGGAGCAAAAAAAAAAAAAAAAAGATTATTTTCCGGACGATGCTATAGTTAATTTATTTTGCAATAAATTTTTCAATAAATTCCGGTCAAATGCTCATCCGGAAATGGAAAATTTCGCTCCGGGATATTCAATGTTAACTGGAGGAGGAAGTGGTCATTGCCAAAGTAATGTCAACATCTATTAAATCTGTACTCTAACAGGTTTCCGTTAGATCAATTCTCATTAAAGCGTTATAACTTCGAATAAATCTTTTAAAATT